AATCAGTTTAATTAGACCTTCACTGGAGACCTGGTCTTTCGCACTTGACACCTATATACAGTATCCATATTGGCTGCTAAATTGGGAAAAGGGTGATCTGTGTCCTTGTATTTGCATTTTAAATTCATGTACTCATGTATTATAGCTTTATTACTAACCAACATATTTGCTATTCAACAGGAGACCGATGAGATCCCACCTGTGCACAAACTCAGAGAATTTTTCATGCCTTGTAGGGGCAATAACCAGAAGGAACCAGACTGTCGTCGTCATACTTGGCAAATGTCATTCACTGCCAGGGATGACCAAAGTGCCATAACCGTCAAAATCAATACGAATCCTTCTGGTCTCACTTGCACTCCAATAGGAGGTGATGTGAAGAATGTAAAATGTGAATATAGGTAGGAATATATCCATTGTTCTGAAAAAAAAAACCAATCATAAAAATCATTCAGCCTCCCTCAATTTTTACATGCAAGAGTCCTAACCAGTCCTGAGTTATGCCAGTGCAAATTGTTTCACCTCCAGAAGTATAAAGTCTAAAATGCTTTGTCAACTATTGTGTGGTAACTACTTTAGCAATAGCAATAGTACTTCAACTTTTATTCTGCTTCACAGGGCTTCATATTGCTCTCTAAACGGTTTTACAGAGTCAGCATATTGCCCCCAACAATCTGGGTCCTCATTTTACCAGTCTCTGAAGGATAGAAGGCTGAGTCAACTTTTCTTTGTTCTTTTTTCTTTATTAAATATAGCAAGAGCAAAAATTTCAATATCTATATAAACAGTGTGTTCTCTAGGTATAGTTAGTTTGAGCAATAATAATCATCATCAAATAGTATTTATAACATTAGTAATAATCATATATTAAAAAAGATATCATCATAACATTGATAATAAGCATATAATGACAATAGTGCTTACTTATCCATTTGGTAAACCATTTTTACAAAATTGATTGTTCTCTTGTATTTTTTGAAATCTAACTTCTGTTCATTAATACGTTAATTGATAGAACGAATCTCATATTAAGAAATATTCAGTGCCTTTCTCGTCTTTAATTTTCAGTGTTAATTTTTCAATTTCTGCACATTCTATTTTTTAATTACATTCTCTTCTGTAGGGATCTCTATGCTCGTCCGATGTTGTGCAAATACAATTCTAGCTGCTGTTAACACATGTAATATTAAGTACATATTCCCTATGTTATATTTTTCTGGTATGATACCCAACAGGAATATTTCTAGTTTTAGTTCTATGTGTTCCTTTATCATTTTTTCTATCCAAGTGTGTATTTTAGTCCAATATCTTTTTTGCCTTTGGACATGTCCACCACATGTGGTAATATGAGCCTGGTGTCTGGTTACATTTCCAGCACTTAGCAGACATATTCTTGAACATCTTAGCCAGTCTTGCTGGTGGGAAGTGCCATCTGTAAAACATTTTATATATGTTTTCTTTATATGCAGTTGACATTGTTAATTTATAACTCCTCTCCCACAACTTTCGCCATTTGTCTAATTCTATCAGCAGCCAAACATTTATCACTGCCTAGGATTGAATTCTCAACATTTGAGTGGGCAGCAAGCATCCTTACCTCTAGGACACCACACCACTCCAGTTAGTTTTTAGCAGTGACTACTTAAAATAATGCAGAGAAAATTAAAATGATTGCATCCCACCCTGAAAACAAAAACTAAGTTTCCCGCAGTTTTAAACCTATGCTTAT